ATGATTTCACCCAGACACTTGGTTTGTAGCATTTTTGCTGGGTTGGCACCTGTTGCTTACTGTTCCATGTATGGATGGGTATTGAAGAGGAAGCAGGCAGGGTTTGTGCCCATTGATTCTCTGCTTCCTTCTAAGTCAGTGCTGCCAGTGTCTGCTCTTGAGTTCTGGTAAGATAGCCCTGTAGTTTCTTAAAGTGTAAGCCCCACAGTCTAGCGGCTGCCATGGAGTCTGGGAGCTATGGGCTGCATTGCCTGGTTGGATCCTGGAACAGGGGCTGGCTGAGCCCAGGTCAGGTACAGACTGGCCTTTCTAAGGGCATTGCTTTGTGGATAGATCTGTTCCTGAGGTCTTTATTGTAACCATGGAGACTACACTTAAGGGGGAAAAAAGGCTCTAGATACAGTGCTTATAAATCCCAGCCCAGCAGACCTGTGTCCAGTTGTCTGTCGTTGAGGGGCTCCCTAAAGGCCAGAACTCTCGTTAAAATTAGCAGTCAGAAGTCTGAACTGCAGATGGTTTTCTTGGTAAGTGCTTTTGAGGACAGCATAAGCGTCTTTGCTGCTTTATACCCCTCATAGGGTATTTGCTATCAGGGTCATCTGTCCCAGAATAGCCAAAATAGCTAATTTGATTGTAATGTGAGGCCTTATTCTTCAGTGCCCTCTTGTCTTCTGTCCATGCAGGTAACTCCTGCCTGCAGCACCTTTTTTCCTCTGCCATCTTGGTTGGCTGTTTGGAAACTCCTTATTGCTTTTGAATGTCACTTACAGTAGGGCTGAAGTCCTCTCTGCCATCAAAAAGCAATGTTGTACACTGCCCAGGCCCAGAACTTACATGTTAAGCTAGGGTTATAGTTTAGTGGTGGGACACTTGTCCACCATGCTCCAGGCTCTGAGTTTGGTCCCGGAACTATAAAACAAAAACAAGCAAAACTGAACTTCCATGTGACAGATTTTTTGGCACCTTTGCTGAACTTGTTAGGTCAAGGAGTATGATGGTACAGCTAGGCTTTCTAGATCCAGAGTTAGCCTGTCATAGTCTCTTATTTAAAAATGTATTTCTGAGATTTCTCTCAGGAGTGCATTTGTCAGTTATTAAGGAAAGAGTCTATTTCCTTGAATCTCTAATTTCCTTGAATCTAAATTGAGGCTTCTTTTACTCTGTGGTTGACTGCTAGCTCTGCATGCCCTATCAAGGGCTGGCTTGCCCCTTGTCTGGAAACCAGATTCTCTTCACCTGGTGGAGAAGCAGCTGGACCCGACTTGGAGGACTGCATTTGTCCCTGTTGCCAGTGTCCCTTCCCTTGTCTCTTGACCCTAGCTTGGCAGGAATTTGGGTACACTGAAGAATTTCAGCGAGGCCTGCAAACATGCCCGTGTATGGTGGATCAGGTGTGGTGGGGCCGTTCTCCCCTTTGTGGCCTGAGGAACAATAATGGGTGCCTCAGGCGTGGCCTGGCCAATCCCCAGCAATGCTGTAGTGCCTGAGACTGTGCGGTGAGACTTCCTACTTCTACCCTCACTTGCGTCCCTGTAGGTCAGCCATGTCCAGCTGTTCCACAGTTCTGGGCTTGGGGGTTTGTTCATGGGGTGACCCTTGAGGCCCCTTTCTGTATCCAGGTACCTCCTGCTGCTATACACAGTCCATTTTGAATTTGGCTGGCTTGTCTTATGAGGACAATCCCAGCTGATCACAGTTCTTGCTGGCTTTGAGCCTAGTAATTACAACCTTTCCCTACTTTCATTGTCCCTGATGATGGAACATTTTGGCTAATTTCCAAAGAGAGTTGTGAGAGTTTGATTAGACTTAGATTGTATGCTTTGGTGACAGGGACAAATCATTAAAGTACCAGCTGAATGACACGAGCTTTGTCCAGCCTCTGGTTCCTCTTGTGAAGTGGGGTATTTCTGAAATATGTAAGAACACACTTGACTTATTGCTGAGCCAGAGGAGCTTTCGGGAAGACAGCTTCCTGCAAATATATAGTGCTCTTGGGTTCTCAGGCCAGCTAGAGGTGGTGTGTATCTGGCTGTGCATTGAGCCTTATACTCAAGGAAGGCTTAGTCCTTGAGTTTTGGGACTCTGATGAAAGAGGTCATGGGCAGTTTCGTGAATCCAGCAATCTGGGGGCTCTGTACTCATCCTGGTGCTAGGTCAGCTTCTTGTGTGCATGGAATTGCTCTACCTAGAGATCACTCACCTACTTGGAACCTTTTTGGCCTCAAGTTATATTTATCTTGGTTTTTGTTGTTGCTTTATTGAAAACATGGCACACAGAAAAATGCATAATCCTGCTACTTTAGCAATCACTTTACATTGTGTAAATCCCTTGTTTCTTTCTTTCTTTCTCTTTTTCTTTTTGGTACCGGGGATTGAATTCTGGACCTTGGGCTTGTGAGGCAGGTGGCGGAACCACTGAGCTAAATCCCTGCGGTGCCCCCGCCCCCCGTTTCTTTTATGGCTGTATTTGTAGCGTTTTTGCAAAGTTAATGTTCTTCCGGTTTTGCATTCTTTTATACATTTATTTCACTTTTAGTTAAAAATAATTTCAAGTTTACGGAAAAGTTACAATAAGAATAAAGAAGATCTGATGTACCCTTAATCCAGATTCACCAATTGTATGACCATGTTTTCATTATATCTATTTTTAGAGTTGTAGAGTATTTTATTAAATGTATATACCCTACTTTACCTAATCACTGCTTCTTGTATCTAGAATGTTTTAAGCTTTTGCTATAGTGCTTAAGGCTGCAGAGGGACTTTTTTTTTTTTCTCCCTGTGCTAGGCAAGCATTCTACTTTGTTTTGTTTTTTGTTTTTGATACTAGGGATCTAACACAGGATCTTGGGCTTGCCAGGCAGGTGCAGCACCACTGAGCTACATCCCTGGCCTGCAGACAAACATTCTACCACTGGAAAATTTTGTGTATTTCTCCTTCTCCCCTCTCCTCCCTCTTCCCTCTCCTCCTCTTTCTCTTCATCCTTCTTTTGGGAATGCTTTATGAATGTGGCTTTAAAATACTGTTTATTTTCTTAAACTGAGTGTCTAGTATAGAGTCAGAGGATAATTACTATATATCCAAGAGGTTTTGTGTATGGGGATTACTTGCTAGCATTTGGACTTTGCTTCAGATTCAACCCATTAAACTTCTATGTCTGGGGCTGGGGATTTAGCTCAGTGGTTCTGCCGCCTGCCTTGTAAGCACAAGGACCCGAGTTCGATCCCTGGTACCAAAACCAAAAACCAAAAAGAACCCTTCTATGTCTGAAGATTTCACTGCTTTAAACACTTCTCACTCTTAGCAATTTGAAAATGAAAACTCACACTCTTTTTATTTTTTTGGTACCAGGGATCAAACTAAGGGCCTTGCACTTGCACTGAGCTAAATCCCTGTCCCAAAAACTCACACTCTTGCTGATTATATTCTCTTAGATATTTATTATAAAGTTAGTTGGTCATATTTCACTGATGTAGTGTGCTTGGTTGACTCCATATTTTTATGCATATTCTTACACCTTGTCTGGAATGATGAGGATCTTAGCAGACTGATAAGAAAGAGAACATTTCTGGCCATCAGAACTCCTGATGATGGCTCCCTAGCTGGGAACTTGTCAGGATATGCTTCTGGTGAGTAGGCCTTCTCAGGGCTGGCCTCATGCATGGAACCAAGGCTCACACAGTGCATTGCTGGGCTGCCCAGGCACCCACAAGGTCTCAGCATCTGCTTCCTCCCTTTTCCACCTCCATGTTTGTCATGTTTGGGTCACAAGGCATTCTGTCTAGATTTGTTTTTGTTCTTGTTATGCCTTTTGTGCGATCTCTTTATGTGTCTCTGTTAGCCCTTTGGTGGCTTGGCTGCTGGGTACCCACCTGTCTTTACTGTGTTTAGGAGTTACTACTTTTCCAGAGCTCTGGCTTCTTCATGGTTCTCTCTGTGTACCCATCCCTGGTTAGAGAGAAAATCCTTGTCTGTTCTTATAAATGTGCAGACAATTGAAAAAACCTTCCCTTGTTTACTTGAATTAATAAAACTCTATATAGTCTTACTCAGCCTCTTATATTATCATATGGATTGACTTTTACATGTCATTGTAGACACATGGCTTTTTTGAGATCAGTCTGAAATCAGTGTAGTATTTGAAAGGGCATAGCTTGGTCAGTGATAGCCTCTATCTTTTAGACAGGTGGGGAAGCCACCGGTTTTCAGATGTAGTGTGGGTTTCAGAACCACGCTCATCCAAGTCAAGTGCCCTTCTGGGTTCTTTAGTTGGAAGGAGTATTGGAGAGTTCATTTGAGTTCATTTTGTGATTTCTGTCACAGTCTGGTGGTGGGTATGCCAGTGTCGACAACTGTGAGGATATGTTGGGGGCAGTACTGGAGAAGGGGCTTTTTATGGGTATGAAGCCACCTTCTATGGATTGCTGATTTAATTTTAAACACTATATGCTCCTTTCTCACTGCCTACTTCCATTCTTAACTGTGTATTTCCCCTCATTTTCATATTTCTGTATCTCATTGACAACTGTTCTTGTAGTTGCTTTGTTGACAATTGCCAAATTGCTTTCTAAAAACATTTTAACAGCCAAATGTTTTTTTGGTGCCAGACGCAGTTGTATGAGTGTGCTTACTTTAGTATAATTTTGTCAGCATTGGGAATTTCTGTATTGTAAACATATTTAATCATTACTCTTATCTACTCAGCTCCCTCCATAACTAAAAATGCACAATTCTGTCTCTGGTTGCCTTAGCTTAGCTTTGTGTGGGGGTTGATTGGAGACTCATGTAGTACTGAGGGAGAGGTGAGAACCTGCTGAGGAAGAGATGGGACAGCAGCTGGATGTGAGAAGGAAAGGGCAGCATCCCCAAAGCCGTCAGTAGGTCAGATGGGCTACCCTGCCATAGGCAGTGTCCTGAAGTGCTGCTTATATTTAAGCCATGTGCCCAGGACCAGAGAGCCCCTTTTCTTAACCTCTGCTGTCCTCTGTGTCCACAGTATGACACCGTTCCCATCCAGTCTAGCGTGGTGTTATGTTCCTGCCCATCCCCATCAATGGTGAGGACACAGACCGAATCTGGCAAAGCTCCCAGCGTTCCCAGTGGTGGCAGCAGGCAGGGCCCCACCATGGATGGCACCACAGCCGAGTCCCGGCCAAGTGCCAACCCCCTGCAGCATGCCGCTCAGCCACCACCACAGCCTCGAAAGAAACGGCCTGAAGACTTCAAGTTTGGAAAAATTCTTGGCGAAGGTTCTTTTTCAACAGTGAGTATGTGGTGCCGGCTTGTTAAATTACTATATTTCTCCTGACTGCCATGAGGCTCAGAGTTGGGACACTTGATTTCCAGGAAGTGTTCTTCCCAGTAGGTAATCCTAGGTCCCTCCTGGGCCATCTCCTGCTGTGAAGGCTTCTGGAGGTTTTGGGACTGGGCTTTCCTAGGACCATGTGATTTTGTTTATGAAAACTTTAAAAAGCATCCTTAAGTCCAATTTGAGACTAATCTGGGCAACATATTGAGAGCCTATCTCAGAAAAAAACAAAAAATACGGGCTAGGGATTTAGCTCAGTGGCATAGCACCTGCCTGGCAAATGCAAGGTCCTGGGTTCCATCCCCAGTACCAAATAAGAAAAAAACAAAAAACAAAACCTCTTGATTAAAGACTTGTTTTGTTTTGTTTCCTATTTATTTTATTTTTATTTTTTGTGGTGCTAGGTGTTGAACTTAGGGCCTCACACATGCTAGGTAGGTGTTTTGCTATTGAGCTATATACTCCTAATCCTTTTTTAAAAAGTTATTTTTGAGAAATGGTCTCACTAAGTTGCTTTGAACTTGCCATCCTTCTGCCTCAGCCTCCCAAGTTGAGTTTATAGGCTTGGGCAACTATCCCCAGCTAATGGTTATTATTATTATTTTTTTTTCTAACAAAGTTAATTTTATTATAGGGCCTAGGATTTGGCTCAGTGGTTTTGCTGTCTGTCTCACAAGCGCAAGGACCCTAGTTTGATCCCTGGTACCAAAAAAATAAAATAAAATAATTAAAAAGTTAATTTCATTCTAACCTGGCATCAATAGGTTCTTCTGTCTTCTTTCCCTGGCCATGTCCTAGAAAGCTTTTCCATCTTTACATTAAAGGTCATGTTAGTGTATCTCTTCAGATATTTTTGGTGACAAGGACCTTTTTTTATATGTGGCTTTTGTTTTAATAAATGAAGTAGTATACTTGGATATTTGCTAGAGTACAGGCTCCTAGATTCTTTGTTCTTTGTTTTATAAACAGAAACATTGTCACGGTGCTGTTAAATCATACTCATGAAATTATATAGCTGCCCTATAATGTTTTTGCACTGAAAGCAAAGAAATGAAGCTTGAAAGCAGCAAACATTTGCTGAGGTGGGGCCACTGAGGCTGTGTGGCTGTAGCTGTGTAAGTTTGTGACCTCAGAGAAGCTCCTGGCTCCAGGGCCACACTCTCAAAAGGTTAGATTCTTTTGTGTGGAGGCCCCATGTGTGGTCTCATTTTGGACAAGAACTTTGGGGTGGCCCTGTGGATGCCTCACTCTGAAAGAGTTCCTGAATAACCAGTATTTCCTGCCTGGGCTTTCTTAAGAAACCATATGTGGAATTTATTTTCTATTTTTTACATTTATGAAAGGTTTTGAAATACATAGAACATGGAATGTAGTTCACCCATATTCCTAACATCTTTTTTAAAAATGTTAACTTTTATTGGTTACATTTTTTTTTCAGCTTTGAGTTTATTGGTACATTTTAGGGATACAATACAGTTACATTCATTGTTGGTATCTTGTACCTCTACATGACAAGTCTTGCTTCTCATTTTTTCCCCTTGTCCCTGCCCTCCCTTTACCCCCTCCTCCCCTCCCCATCTACAACCACTTTATTTCCATCTTTTCATTATCTCACATTTTTTTCTTTTCCCTTTTTACCCTTCCCCTACCCATCCCACCTTCCCTACACCTTTAGCTCCTTTCTTCCCATTTCTCAATGTCAGTAATCTTATTAGGATCTTCTGTATTATTGCAGATTATTCACACCAGAGAAACTATTTGGTATTGCTTACATTTTTTTTTTAAAGACAGGGTTTTGCCACATAGTTCAGGCTGCCCTTGAACTTCTATGTAGCCCAGGCTGACCTTGAATTTGTGGTGGTCCTCCTGCCTCAGCCTCCCAAGTGCTGGGATTACAGATGTGTACCATCATGCCATCTATTAGAAATATTTATGAGTTAATTTTGTTTATAAAAGGAGTATATCCTCATAACAAAAGCCTTTAGCCCTGAAGACCATTCCCAGTGGTTCTGGTGCACACCACCCCTAGCAGTAAGAGGAAACTGACTTCCATCATCCATCTCCCCCCACCCCCACCCCAGGGATCGAACTCAGGACCTTGCACTTGCTAGGCGCAGCAACACTGAGCTACATCCCTGGCCCAAGAGGAAATTGTTTTGGGAACTTTGGGTGTTGTGCACAGCCCATGAAAACTCTCCCTTATTCTCAGTTTTGCTTCACACTTATCTCAGCTGGAACAGGATGTACTTGTGGTACTGCCATACTCCTGAGTCTCTATGGGCTACAAAGTAAGCATCATCTTCTCTGGGTGGCACACTTGTCCTGTGCCATGTGATACCTAGGAAAGTTCTGACAGCCAGAGTGTCTTTTCCTGGCTGTTTAGAAAGTGTTGCTTGGGTCTTGATTTGGTGTTACCCTTCAAACTTCCTCACCATTCCTGAATTAGAGGCCACTTAATATCAGATTTCCAGGATAGAAATAAGGGATGAGTATGGTTATGAGGCTAAGCAGCATCTTCATTTGCCAGGGCCTGGCACTGGTGTGGGAGAGTAAGAGATCCCCCCAGGTAGCCCTGCTGTCACCCTAGGTGACATGGAGGGACACATCTCATATGATCGTCTGGAAGAATACCCCTTCCCTCTGCATGGGAAACCTCATGAAATGCTAAAATTAGACAACAGAAAGATTGCCTTTCTGATGTCTCCTTAGAAAGGATTCCACTTGACAGTAGTGTTCTCTAACAATTTCTTTTCTTTTCCTGCTCACTAAGCTAGCACACATACTCACGTGAAGGAATGTGATGTTGCTTAAGTGCATACCTCTGAACGGCAAGTCTTGCCCCAGCCTGCTTCCCTTACCCCTGCTGCTGACAACTATCTATACATGCCATATATCTGAGCACATAAAACCTGACCTCATTCCTGATGAAGGCAGGCATCTCACAGTGATTTTTCGGGTTCAAGTCTGAGGAGCCCTGTCCAGAACTGTCACAGGGCTGGAGGTATAGCTCAGTGGTAGAGTGCTTGCCTAACATGCAGAAGACCCTGAGTTCCATTCCTAGCACAGTGGAAGGGTATGGTAGTGGTGAATCTCAAGAATTCTGTCACAGGATATGACACACATAACCAAGGGCTAGGAGGACCTGGCCCTGTGATCTCCTAAAGGCTTTTGTACTAGGCCCAAGTATCTCATAGGGACAGGGCTCATCTGCTCGCTGGTCTTCTGGCTATTCCTCTGCAGAGGTCTAAAGAGACACATTTGCATATACAGACAGTGGTGAGGCCTTCCATGGCAAAGCAGCCCCTGCATGCACTGGCTAGACCTTGGTGCCAAAGCTCCTTTTACTTTGGTTCCTCGGGCATGCCCAGGGTTTGCTGGTGCAGAGTGATCTTTTCCATGTTGAGGATGCTGCATTGGGTGCTCTGTCCCTGAAATGGAGTCTGAGCAAAGGCACAGGTGGCCTCAGAGGACATGGCGGAGGGGAACACATGAGGAGCCATCTTGGGAAGATGGCTCACTGATTTAATCCCTGTGCCACTTACAGCCATGATTGTATTTAGGTCATCAAATGAATTGTGTGGTAGCAATCATTTGAAAAAGCCTACATATCCTTGAAGTTATTTTTTAAAAAAATTCCCAGTGGCCATTTGCAGGAACATTTGAACATGTTACTCTCTGAGGTTCTTGAATTTGTATTTTTACTGTGCTTTAAAGACTTCTGGCAGCTGATCACAGACCTTTTGGAAACAGTAGAGAAATTATGTTTGCTGTTTTTTATTTTTTTGGTACCAGAGATCAGACTTGGGATATGTTTGCTGTTAACAGTTGAATTCCTTAACGTGAACAGTGGTGTTCTGCTCTTTGTTAGTACAGGAGCCAAACTATTTAAATGTGATTTCAAAGCTTGAGTGGGATGGGGAAGCCTGTGTCAGTGATCGGTCAGACTCTTTCTCCTGGTTATTACAGTGTGTTTTTTTCCCTTTCTTCCCAAACCAGGTTGTCCTGGCCCGAGAACTAGCCACCTCTCGAGAATATGCTAGTAAGTACCTTCTCCAGTGAGCCATGTGCCTGGAACTTGGAGATAGGGCAGCCTTCATGAACACGACAGCTTTTTGGCAGGACCTGGAGGTTTCTGTGCTGATTTTAGGGTCTAGGTCTTAGAATCATGAAGCTGGTATGGGTGATTTTTGGAAAAACCACTTTGTGCTGGTATATTTATAAAATGTGTGATTATTATAAAATGTATTATTATTCTTCACCTCTTCCAGTTAGTAACTCATGTCTCTCTCACCTTAAGTTAAAATTCTGGAGAAACGTCATATTATAAAAGAAAACAAAGTCCCATATGTAACCAGAGAGCGAGATGTGATGTCACGGCTGGATCACCCCTTCTTTGTTAAGCTTTACTTCACATTTCAGGATGATGAAAAGCTGTGTATCCTTTGTGTGGTCAGTGCCATTTGGAATCACTTCAGTCACCCCTCTTTTTTTTTTTTTTTTTTTTTTTTTTTTTTTTTTTTTTTT